CAGGGACCATTTAGCCGTTAAGTCATGGGCATTTTTGTCAAAACTTTTAACATTTGGTCCTTCCGGTTCTCTCTCTCTCTCTCTCTCTCTCTCTCTCTCTCTCTCTCTCTCTCTCTCTCTCTCTCTCTCTCTTGTTTATGCCAGATAACCAAAAGCATCAACTTCATCTTCATTTTATATCTGGTAACCAAAATCAAAACTTGGAAACTAAAAACCCAAGATTTGAAGGTGCTTAGATGGCTTGTACTTTGATTGGTATTCACATGGAATACCACTGCCACTCCATCACCAAGCTATATGTAATTTCAAGCCATGGACCATCGTATGACCACTCCATCACTTCCTCTAATTTCGATCGAAAATTGATTTTTGGAACCATTTTGGAATACGATCGAAAATTGATTTCCGAAACAACGTCTCTTCGATCTACAACTTGATGAAGACGATGGTTGAGCCGCTCGTCTCTCTCCTTCTCCAGCGATGTTGTTCCACCTCTCTGATGGCGACGACATTTAGGTTTATTCTTGCTTGATTATTAAAATCTAAAACTGAAAATCAAAAGTCGAAAAGGAACTGATTTGGGTTTGTTCTTGCTTGATTTCTTTGTGGAAATCGAAAGACGTTAGAGTATTTGTGGAATCACGAAATCAGAGTTCTAAAAGAATATTGTAGGCGGCAGACGTTAGAGTCGAGTTTGGAGTTCGTTTTGATCGAAATTAGAGGATTTCACTTCAATTTTGATTCTGTTTCACGAAATCGGCTTTCAAAATCAAGTTGATATATTATTAACCTCCAATTACCAGGAGGAATTGGAGTGTTCAAACCACCATCATAGACTCATAATGGGGGAAACTTTGAGATCAGTTTGCAAATCTTTTTTTGATTTTGCCTCCGAAATCTTCCTTCAGGTTGCAGTAGGGCCAATTTTCGCTATTGTTTGGGCAGAATTAAGAGAACTACTTGTTGGTGGGCATATCTGCTTCCAATAAGTTATGGTGGTTGAATCATGGCTTCGTGGTGAGAGGAGGGACGGTGGTGAGACCTGTCTTAGGGCTACTGATGGTTTGGGTATTGAATTTGGGTATTAAAACGAGAGAGAGAGAGAGAGAGAGAGAGAGAGAGGTGGGACCCTTGCATATTAAATTTTTTTATTTATTTAAAAAAAAGTAATAGAAAACCTCATAAATGGTCCCTATGTAATGAAATGACAAAAATGCCTCTAACTTAACGGCTAAATGGTAACGGAGTGAGCCGGAAGGACCAAATGTTATAAGTTTTGAAACCACAGGGACGATCTGTGAGGTTTTTTGAACTTAGGGACTAAACTTGATATTTTCGAAAACCACAGAGACCATTTTTGAATTTTTGTCTATTGTAAATAAATAAATATCCTTTCTGCTTTTTTATTAAATTCATTGGACCTGCATTGAATTGTTATTACAAAAAAGATCGATTGAAAGATAAAAAGGTTTAATCAAGGGAAAGGCAACAAATTATATGAAAACCATTTTTATGACTTAAGTATTATATTTCACCAAAACGTTTCTAGCTCATCGGTATCAGGTTTTGTCTTTCATCTTGAAGGTCGAGTGTTCAAATCCGGTTGTTGACATAGACAGAATTAAGTGTTAACTTAGGAGTATATTAGATTTTAAAAAAATTAAAAAATAATAATAAACTAAAATAAAAATAACTAACTGGTATTAAAAAGTTTTACCTAAGCCACTAGATTTTGACAAAATGTTATATCATGAACACTTTAACATGTTCTATAATAGCAAATCACAGTGATCAAGACAGGCGGAAATAATAGGGAAATGTGTGGTTTTCATTAAAGAACTGAAATGAAGTGATTAAACTAAATTATAGTGGCTTTTAGGTATTTTGCCCAATAAATTAACATAAAAATGATGATGCTTCAAATCCTAGCTTTAAGTAACAAACATGGTGATACATAATATTTGAACAGCTAACTTAACCAAATATAGCACATAAAAAACAAATAAAACCCCTTTACACTCCATTTTCAACAATCTCCTTCATTTCACCCAAAGAAAACACCAATGCTTCATTTTCAAACTCTTATTTCTTTATTTTCTGCCTCAACTGCAAATACCCGTTGTGTTCATGCATTTTATCTTTACTTGATACTTTTTATTGATTTCATAACTCAATAATACTACCGCCAAAACATTATGTGCCTATTGTTAGGCCAAAAAAGAAAAGAATAAGAGTTGCTAAAAGGAGTGTCAAACTTTGTAAACAAGTAGCAACTTAAGAATGTTTCACTTCAATCAAATCAAAAATTATTCAATCAATCATTTCTCTCTCTAACATTTTTCTTGTTCTTCATATTGTTCATATTTTTCTTTACTTATTTTAGTTGAACACTTTGTTGGGTATATTCTTCGAGGTTTGACTGGTTTATCCAGACTTGACTGGACTTAAGATCATTTGTAACCATTATCAAATCTCAAGTAGTGTCTCTTTGATGATACAGTTACCATTCCTCTCAATGAGATTCAAGTCAATGCCAAATTGAACTTCGTTAACGAGTCGATAGAGATTATGGATCAAGAAGTGAAAAGGCTTAAGAAAAGTTGCATCCCCATAGTAAAGGTACGATGGAACTCTAAACGAGAACTATAATACACTTGGGAATGGGAAGATGAAATGAAGAGCAAATACACTTATTTGTTCGAAGGAATCCCGACTACAATTTGAATTTCATGACAAAATTCCTTAAACGAGGGAAGAATGTGACAACTGAGAAAAACTTCGTCAATGACCACTGTTAGAAAATAACATAGATAAATAATGTAATAGAGTATCAATGTAATATCTCGGTTTATAAATAAATATGATTGAATATACTCTTGCACATAAAAATAAATCGACTCATAGGCTCGAAAATGAGTGTCCAAAAAGTTGTGTTGTCGTCTACACCGGTTGACATATTCGGAAAGTACAGGACAACGTGATTCCAGAGATATAAGTTTGGTAAAAATCTAACTTCAATTGGAGAAGTTATGATTTTTTTTTAAAGTAAAATCAACCACGTAATTAAATTATTAACGTCAAAATGGAATTGAGAGATCAGTCGAGTTTTGGCTAGTGTCGCCGAAAGGAGAGTCGAATTTTAAGCTCTAATGATATGTTATAATTATAATGGTATGATGAATGTTGTAAATTGTAATGGTATGAATGCATGCTTTGCCGGTTACCAAAAGTAATACCACAATTTCATTAACTTGCAAAACATGCAATACAACTTAAAGCCATCATATAGATACTAACATGATAAACATATTCGATCACTTAACCCACACTTTGTACACAAGAAACGACACAAACAAAAACCAACTAATAGCTAGATATAACTTCAATTTCAAATATTGTTGTTCAAGTTTCATACTAATAGACAAGCACACTTCTTAATGTTCAGACAAGCACACTTCTGTTCAACCACCACCCAACCAATGAAATTACAATCACAACCCTGTAAAGTTCAAATTTGTAAACATTTAACATGTTAATAACTAGATAAAGTTGAAGAAAGTTGGAGATTAGGTTAGATTTAACAAGAAATTGAAATTAACCGGGTTAGAACAAGCGTAGTAAAGTTTTTTAAAGTTGCTCTTGCTCCACGAAGTACGAATCACAACTTCAGCCCCACAATTGCATCTAATGGTCATTTTGATTTCTACGTTGAGAAAGATAAACTAAGAAGGGGAAGAAGAATATTGGGGGAGGTAGAGTTGTAAACGAACTGAATGTTCGATGAGTTATTCGTGAACCGTTCGGTGGGAAGTTCGTTTATGTTCATTTTATTTAATAAATGAACAAACATGAACACAAATTTTAGTTCAGTTATATTCATGAATGTTCGTTTATGGTGTTCATTTATGTTCGTTCATTTAAGTTCATTTTATGTTCATATATTTTTTATTTTTTTTATTACATTACTATATTATATGTTTGTTTATGTTCATATATGTCCAATTATGTTTATTTATCAACGTTTGTTTATATTCGTTCATTTATATTCGTTTAACATGTTCACGAACATAAATGAATGAATATAAACAATGTAATTTTTTAAACGAATGAACATGAACAGAAAAACGTGTTCATTTGGTTCGTTTACAACCCTAAGGGGAAGTGAGCGAAAGAAAGGGAGGGGCAACGGTTATAATTGGGCAACACTTGAAATGATGAAAATACTCATGCATGTTAAGCACGTGGGGAACCCAAATGGAGAAAACAAACTGATAATATCGATAAGGATAGGGCGGGCAGGATTTAACCGTGTGAGGGACCATCTAGGTTAATTTTTAAAAATAAAGACCGAACGTGCAAATGGACACCTGCACCGGGGATGATTCATGTAATTTACTCAAAAATGAAACATAGTCAAAAATTACATAAATGGTTCATATAGTTTATCCATGGTCACAAACTCAGTTTCTGTTAAACCTGAAAAAATTAATTTACCCTCACAATAACGGATGAAAAGTAACGGTGTGTGCAAAATGGACCATTCATACAAGTTTTGGAAACCATTAGAGACAATGTTCGTCAAAAATATTAGCAAGGATTGAGTATGTGACCTTTGGTAAACTATAGGGACCATTTATGTAACTTTATGCAAAATTTATGAGGGTTAGTGGGTTATGTTTTAAATTTTTGGACGTGTATTGAATTCTTATTACAAAAAGATCGATTGAAAAACAAAAAGGCAACTGTGAATCAAGGGAAAAGAAGATAAAATGAAGACAATTAGATTAGTTGTGAATCAAGAGAAAAAAGAAGAGAAAATGAAAGACAATTAAATTAGGACAAATTACATGAAAATCTATGTTTTGAAATTTTTACAGTCTAGCTATTATATTTCGGTTTCCTCAATTAAAACCAATGAAGAAGGTTAAAGGGCTGATAATATAAAACTTTATCAAAGTTAATGATTTTAGAGAAAATTTACTAAACTTTGATAGTATTAAAACACTTTAACATGCTCTGTTATAACAAATCACATCGGTCAACATTAAAAAAAAATGTCAAAATTGAGTGCCTTTCATCGACAAAACTAAAACAGAGATTAAACCAAAATATAGTGACTTTTATGTAATTTGTCCAATAAATTAACATAAAAATGTTGATGCTTCAAATCCTAGAATAAAAATGGTGATACACAATAACTTAACCAAATAAAGCACATAATAAACAAATAAAACCCCTTTACACTCCATTGTCAACAATCTCATTCATTTCATCCACCGAAAACACAAATGCTTCATTTTCAAATTCTTCTTTCTCCATTTTCTGCCTCAACTGAAAATACAAATAACACAATTCGAACATTTAACATCACAAAAATAGAATCCAAAAATCAAAGCAGTAAACAAACAACACCTTCTCTAAGATAGCACACTGATGATCCACACCATAGTTACGCATGTGTTTCAACATCTCCAATTGCTACAACATATTTACACATTACCCATTTTAAAATTTCAAAATAATAATAATAATAATAATAATAATAATAAATTATATTGTTGGATCTTACATGTGAATGTAATGTTTGTTGCATTTGCAATCTTTCGGAATATTCATCTGGACCAAGCTCGGCTTCTTCACATGCCATTTCTTCCCTGTTATTAAATCGGTTTACATATCAATAAATCGTATCAAATGTGTTTCTTTTTGGGATAATGACATAAAAACCCTTAAGTTTGTAAGTTTTTGTCGGTTTTACCCTTTTGTGGATTTTAGGTTCATTAAAATTTGCAAACTTAAAAAAAATGATTTAATAGAAAAAACTTTAAATTATGTATGTGTATAATGGTATCAGAAATATAATGACAAAGGAATGGAATTGACAATTGACAATTGACATAGCAATGTAATAAACAAGGTAATGGAATGAGTTATTACATTACATTATTACATGATCATCTTTGGTTGACATGTAGAAATGGAATGATGTTTTGATATGAATATTTTATGTTGTTAAAAGAATGTGTAGCTTAACTCTACATATACATTGTTTAATAATAGTTAAGATTAATCTCATAAAAGACCTTATATTTTGTGTTTTTTCCGGATTAAACTTCAACTTTATTTTTTTATGAAAAAGACCTTGCACTTTTTCATTTTTTTCGATCTGATCCTTTTAGTCATTTTATTCCGAGAAAACTTGTAAAATGTGAGGGTTTTTTACTTTTTTTTGGAAAAAAAAAAACTAAAAATATCGAGGGTTTTTTCGGAAACGGTTAGAAGGTCAAGAGCTTTTTCTGTATTAAAAAAAAAAAAAAAAAAGACAAAGTTGAGGGTTTTTTCGGAAAATTTGAAATTGAAAAGATACAATGGTTTTTTAGGAAAAAAAAATAAAGTTTGAGGTTTAATCCAGAAAAAACACAAAATATAAGGTTTTTTAATAATTATTGAATTTTTTTATTTACAAAATAATAATAGGATTAATCTCAAAAAAAACCTTATATTGCGTGTTTTTTTTAATTAAACCTCAAATTTACTTTTTGCCTAAAAAACCTTGTATTTTTTCATTTTTTCCAAAAAAGCCCTCAACTTTGTATTTTTTACAAAAAAAACCCTCAACCTTCTAAATGCTTCCAAATAAATCCCCAACTTTTTTAGTTTTTCTCAAAAACCCTCACATTTTATAAATTTTTTTGGAAAAAATGACTAAAAGGGCCAGATCAGAAAAACTGAAAAAATACAAGGTCCTTTTCAGGCAAAAAATAAATTTGAGGTTAACCTGGAAAAAAACACATATTTTCCACTTTCCGGTCATTAAACCCAAATAAGTCTATAGTAAATAGTAGGAGAGAGAGAGAGAGAGAGAGAGAGAGAGAGAGAGAGAGAGAGAGAGAGAGAGAGATTACTTTGCTACAAATGCATAAAAGCGAACCATTAAATCCCGATCATTTTCATAGTCCATGTTTATTTTCCCCAAGCAAGCAAGCCCATAAGCTGGATCTGAAATAATACAATTTTTTTATTTATTTATTTATTTTTAAAAGTCTATAAAAAATTATACACTTTATTTTAAAAAAAAAAAAAAAAAAACATGTATTTACCAACTCCCATTTCCTTTAGTATTTCCTCCTGTATAGCAGTGGTCACAGCTACAGCTTCCTGTATTTATTACCATCATGTTCATGTTCATGTGTTGTCTATTTCAATTTTCAATTATTCAAAAACCATTTATTTCACATTTATCAAATTCACAATTTTACAGATAAATCCCTGGAAAATCCTTTTGAGTCCCTCAACTTACTAGAACATTCAAAAACCATGGTTTTTTTTCAAAAAATTTTGACTTGTAATGGTGGTTGAGGTTATATAGGACTTCATTCAACATTGTAACTAGGAACCAATTACCTCTTGAAATGGAAGAAGTTAAATGCTGATTTTTCATTTTTCCAACAACTTTACACTTTCTTTTATATCAATTTATGTAACGTTGGTTTCACCTTTTTACCAATTTATGCAACATTGTAACCAAAAACCATGTTTCAAACAACACTGGTTTCATGATTTCATCTTTTTGACTATTCCTCATTACAAGAGTTGTGGGTGGTTTTAACGCCATTTACAGAGGTGACTGAAAAATACTGAAGATTAATCACTTTACAAAGGGAACTACATCACACTAACTAAGAACTTAATCAAATCAAAATTAGTCCACTAAGAAAACCTTAAAAAGAATCCGAAAATCAAGAATAAACGAGAGAGATAGATACCTGGTTATCGTTGACAGCATCTGCAATTCGTTTCTTGACATCTGAAATGATTCGTTGAATCTCGAATTGGAATCGATTCATAGGAGAATATACGCATAAATTAACAATAATACTGTGTGTGTATGTGTGCAAATAGAGATCGAAAGAGAGAAATTGATACCATTTTGAGATGTGAGAGTGGAGAATCGATCGAAGAGATGAAGCAACTGTTCTCTTGATAGCATTTCGAACTGTAGTGATTGTTTTCTAACCCTAGCATGCCTATTAAATTTTGGGTACTGTATTACCCACACAAAACGACATCGTTTTTGAAAGGCGTGACAGGTCCACTAATGGTTCTTATTTCATCGTAAAAAGTTTAAAAAAAAAAAATTACTTTACAGTTTGTATCGCAGAACATAAAGATCATGTTTTTCGATCAATTTCCAAATACCCATTGAAAAAAATAAAGGAAATAAAAGATGTTAGATTTTCATTTTTCTTACATTCTTTCTTGAAAAAGAATCAAGAAACAGATTTAATAAACATAAACATAGAATCACAACACTTGAAGCTAACCCTAAATAAGCAATTTGAAGAACCCTAGAACTGAAAATTTAGAAATCTTCATCCATTTTGAAAACATGAGAGTCTCCATTTCCGTTCAAATTCGACATCACGGAAGCTTTCTGATACTCACCCACCCTTTTCTCGAAGAAATTGGTCTTCCCCTGTAACGAAATCAGTTCCATCCAATCAAACGGGTTCTGGGCATTGTACAATTTCCCATATCCCAATGCACCCAATAACCTATCAGCAACGAATTCGATGTATTCACTCATCAGATCCCCGTTCATCCCTACAAGAGCACAAGGTAAGGCATCGCAGACGAACTCTCTTTCAATCTCCACCGCATCGGAGACGATTCCCTTGACTCGTTCCTCACTCAGCTTCGTCTTCAGTAACCCATAAAGCAAACAAGCGAAATCACAGTGCAATCCCTCATCTCGCGAGATTAATTCGTTCGAGAAGGTTAATCCAGGCATCAACCCACGTTTCTTCAACCAAAAAATCGCGCAGAAGCTTCCGGAAAAGAAAATCCCTTCAACGCAAGCGAAAGCGATAATACGCTCTGCAAACGTCTCCGAGCCATCGATCCATTTAAGAGCCCAATTCGCTTTCTTCTCGACACACGGAATAGTCTCGATTGCTCGGAAGAGTCTGCTTTTCTCATTAGAGTCCTTTATGTAGGATTCCAAAAGCAAACTGTACATCTCGGAGTGGATATTCTCGATGGCGATCTGGAATCCGTAGAAAGCACGCGCCTCCGCAACTTGAACCTCTTTCATGAATCGTCCGGCTAGGTTTTCCAAAACGATGCCATCGGAGGCGGCGAAGAAGGCAAGGACGTGGGTGATAAAGTGCCTCTCGCCGTCTGTTAACGAGTCCCAGTGACGTTGATCTTCAGACAAATCGACCTCTTCGGCTGTCCAAAACGAAGCTTCGGCTTTCTTGTACATTTCCCAAATTTGAGGGTACTGAATTGGGAACATACAGAAGCGATCTGGGTTTGGAGCAAGAAGAGGCTCTTCAGGGATAGAAGGCATTCTGGTAGGTTTCGAAGAGATCTGATTGGCGAAAATGGATTGAAAGATGAGGGGTGGAAGATTAGGGATTGTTTGGTATGATGAAATTAAGGAGAGGAGTGACCATGTTTTTATAATGAAATTGTTGAATAGTGAGAGCGGGTGATTTGAATTTTGAGGGTAAAGCTTGCGGGAGAATCTTTACACTTTTTTTTTAATTTTTGGCACTTTCAAATTTCAATTTCAATATATAAATAAAATGGTATCAAGTTTACTGGTAACTCATACAACAAAATATATATTTGTATTTTTTTTGGAGTAATCTAATCAAATTATTTTAAAACAACCCTCATTTTTTTATTTTCTTTTATATGTTTGGAGATTTGCCGATAATGTTATAACAGGGGACAAAAAAAATTCAGTAAAAAAAAAAAAAAACTCATTTGTTTCTAACTTGTTTGTAAAACTCATGCTATAAGATTTGGAAGAATGGGTGCGGTTAACGTCTCCCCTTGACTGTGGTTTGTCTGCACACGGCAGAGAACGACCGCAACTCTCTCATCCGCTTTTCATTTTCCCAAGATTTGAACAATCAAAGCTTTTAAAATTTAAATTTTTGTTATTACTTATCATTAGAGAATATTTGTAATCATTGTTAGTATGGGGATTAGAGTGTAAATGACTCGATTATATATCTACATGTTGTAATACATGATTAACATAACTCGTAATACAATTCTATTTACCAATATTAACTTGGTATTAGAGTCGATCAAAACAAACCTAACTCTACTGTAAAAAATAAATAAATAAATAAAAACCTCCATCGCACAAGAAACGGGCATCAAACAAAGATTGCCCCGTCTCTTTAGTTAGCACATCACGTAATCCTACCCTACCTCTTTTTTTTTTCTTTTTTTCTTTCCTCCATGGATCTTATTACAACGTTTTCTACAATTGAAAAGACTACTCATAACTCCCACAAGTTTGGGTTTACCTTGTCTTCTATAAACTATGGCTATTGGAAAACCATGCTTCAACTTTGGCTACAAATGGCATGTTTGGCTATGTTGACGGTATAATTCCATGTCCACTTGTTACCATCTCAATCCAAACCTCAGCCACTGGGAAAGAAACTGATGTTTCATCTGTTACACAAACCATACAACCCAACCCTCAGTACCTAGCATGGGTCGCCAATGATGCTCATGTACGCATGTTGATTCTCTTGACTGTCTCTGAAGCCTCATTTCAACACGTATAGGGGGCTACTTCCCTGAATATGTGGTTGTCCCTCGAGCGTGCCTAAGCTCCGCACACGTCGACTAGGGAATACACTCTAAAGACCCAACTTCTGAAACTTGAGATGAAAGCAGATGAATCCTCCACTGCCTATCTTAACCGGGCTCAAGCCTAGGTTAATGCTCTTGCTAACATCGGTGAACCTGTAAAAGAAAAGGACCTAGTCATGCTTATTATGTCCGAACTTAGGGAAGAGTATAATGGTCTCAAATCAACCATCTTTACTCGATAAACTCCTACAACTTTCTCCGAATTACATGGTCTTCTGTCTGATCACGATTATATGGTCCGAAAATCAACACCTGAGGTCTCACCCGTTCAAGCCTTCACGACTACAACAATAAGTCGCAACATAACAACCCCACATGTCTCTCTTACTTCCTCACCAAATCAATTGCAGGCTTTACAACAATTTCTTTCTCATCTTAGCGTTCAACTTCATCCAACCAACAACCAAAGTGATCAAGCATTTCACACTAACAAGTCTTTTAGTCCTCGTGGACGAGGTTAAAATAACAGAAGAGGACAATGCAACTTTAATCGCACTCAAGGAGATTTCAACAACAAAAATCAAGGGGGGGGGGGGTAATCGTAGTCATCTTTCTTGGGTCTTTAACAAAAAACACCATGTGTGGTACATGTAATAGGTGCGGAATAGGACATGTAACAGATCAATGAACTTTCACCAATCAAGGTGCTTTACTTTATGCAATCAATGTAGAGCTCATAGAACTCACATGCATAGTCAATTTACCGGAATGACATAGAAACAAGAATATGTCAACACGATAGGTTATAAACCTCAAGTCGTGTGCTAGTGACGAACAACTAGGTTTATTATTGATTTGTTCTTGAAACTTTTCAAGATCATTAAGACTCCCACTGACCTCTTGCATATAAGATTATCTTGTCAATAACATTCCTTGATAAACAAATATTCAAGATTAGTGTGGGTTCCTATCAAGACAAAACCACAACACGCGATTGGTTTTAGTTGGTCTTTATCTTATCCAATACATCACAACTTACCAATTTCAAACGTGTAGGAGTAAGAAACATTTTTGCTCCATATTTGACGATGTGTTATAAACCTACTTACGACATGTCACTCAATACATAATCTTGGAGTATGATTCTAAGACTTGATTTTGGAGCGAAGTGTGATTTACCTTTTGATTTAACAATTTCAACAATTGTCGATACCTCTTCTTAGCCATACTAATGCACTAAGGTATCCTTAGAGGATCAATTGTGATACGGTTTCATAGTCACCAAGTTAATCATAACACAAGATATTGGAGTACTCACCCTTCTTTTTCAGATTGGAGAAACTTTTATCTTTCTACCTAATTGATTCTTCCTATTCGTTATGCTTTACATTGAAACCTTTTCAATGATTCAGAATTACACTTAATCTTGTAAGCACGAACATATTTACTAAAATTTTCAGTAAAACATGATGAAAAATCGTATCGTTCTTTGTGATGGACTTGACTAGTGTATAACAATGTGGAATAAATCTCCTAATCCTTCACTTGACTCATATCCATGTGTGAACAAGGAATTAGTCACGATTTCCCAAAGATGAAGGTTCTCATTCATCATACGACACAAGTCGCATGATTCCAAGTTTTTGTCCAATTGAAACTTGGGAGATGAAAATCATGTTGTAATTGGTAAATTTCTGACACTACCACAAAATATCATAATTAAGAATCACATCCATTTCAGTATTGCTAACAATAGAAACATACAAACATAAATTTTCACAAAAGTCATTACAAGGATATATATATATATATATATATATATATATATATATATATATATATATATATATATATAGGCTTAGGTTATTTTGTTTAAAGTATCTATTATGTTATTGTATGCATAATTGTGGGACAATCAATTATTTAATTTCTAAAAGAAAATGATTAATATTAAATTGATATACAATAAATGAAAATGGCTCCTCATTTAAAGATAACGAATGAATAAGGGTATAAGTGTATATTGTACTCTCCATTAAAATAGGAAACTGAATATATTGATGAAAACTACCTGCATAATCCCTATAAAATCGCATGCATCCGGATTCCACTATCCTTTGTATCGGAACACAAAATCAAACTATATTTTCTCGACTCAACCCAAAAAGTGGTAGATTCTCTTGTATGTGTTATATAAAGTGATCGATTCTTGAAGATTATTCACAGAAATTGTGTTATGATCTTTTGAAGTAAAAGAAATCGCAGTGCAATGAGGAGTACAAGGACGAATTCTTTCAAATCGAAATTTAAGAACACACAAGAAACAGTGTTGAATCTAGATGAAGACGATGATGATTTCATCGCTCCACCTATAGGTAATCTTTTTTTTTTAAGTTTTTTTAGGTAATCATTTGAATACACAACATTCTTTTGGAATGTTCTACCAATGAAGTATTTGCATGTGGTTTTTTAGTTGGTTTAAGTAAAATAGAACGAAATAGTTTAAAATTGGAGTATTTTTTTATTAGGGTTTTATGAAATTGGGGATTTAAAACCCAATAAAATTGTTGGATTTTAACAAATATGCAATAGATGTTTTGCAAAAAAGGGTTTGTGATTGTTTATTATGTTATGTGTTTTAAAAGCGAAAAAATACTATTTTTTTTGGTAATATGTTGTCGGGTTTTGTTAGAATTATGTTATGATGATATTTTGTTAGAATACTTTGTGGTTTTGTAAATTTCATATGAAATGCATTATTCCAAAATATGAACATATTTAAAATCTTATCTTTTAGGGTTGGTAGTGTTGGATATCAACATTGTGTCTATGGGTTTTGGTTCACTTCTGAACATTGACATGGACACTGCTTCGGGGTTACTTAACTACTATCTATTAGATCACTATGATCCAGATAGTAGTCGTCTAGTTCTAGAGAACATGGTCATAACAATTATGAAAGACACAGTGCATGACATGTTGGGTTTACCAAATATAGGGGAAGAATTGTTGAGCATGATTAACGAGAAAGATAATTAAGTTCTGCAGGAATGGAAAAGTCAATATGATAAAAAGGGTTTAATGGTGAAGAATACTCGAAAAGGATCAAAAACACAAAGCAAGACAACCTTATGTTTAGGCTGAATTTTTTGACACTTTTCATTGACACATTTGTGGAATCAACTTTGAGTGGTACCAATCAAATAAATGTTGTGAGTAAGTTGGTGATGGTAAAAGATTTCTCTAAAATAGATTGGTGCAAGTATATTCTAGATTGTTTGGTCAGGAGAAAGCAATTGTGGATAAGGGATGATAAGACATGCTATTACAGTGGACCTATACTCATTTTAACAGTAATATTGTTATCTCGATTAGATATTTACTCTAATGTAAATAGAATATGTTTAATGAACTAATTAATGTAGTTTTTTTAGGTAGCTGGTGTATGTATATAGCATGAAGCTTTCGGGATTGAAGATAGTTAAGAGGTTACCGTTGGTTAGAAATGTTACGAGTGTTATTCTTGAAAAGATAGAGAAGTTGGAGATTAGTGTTGGGGGTTTGGTAGGCAGCTACCAGAAAACTTTGAAGATATTGATGATGATGAAGAAATGGTTGATGAAGATGAAATGTCGGATGAGCTAATGAGAGAGTATGTGGATGAGGAGGTAAGACAGTAATTCTATTAGAATTTCATGTAAATTAGATTTAAATTGTATTATGTGTCTTAATGTTATTGAGTTAATATGTATGTTGAAAAATAATTATGTCAAAATTTTGTTAATGATTTGTTAAAATAAAACTTACAGGTATATGTGGCTGTTATAGAGCATAGCTATGGAATAATATTATCCGAGAAGAAGAATATTGAAAAAGCTCTAAAAAAGACATTACCAAACAGTTTGATGTTGAAGGAGTGGTACGAAAAAAATCAAGAATTGTTCAACGAAGTGAAGAAGGAAGAGAATGGAGGAATGAATAGTAATGAAGCTGGTTTTAATGGTCATAGGAACGAAGGAGAGGCAGATGGTGGTAATGAAGAAGGATTCTCTCCAGTTAGAGGATTGGTAGTTCATGGGGATATGCATGATGATGGTGGAGGTTTCAATACACCTAATATGGAAAAGGTAGATAATACAAACAATCTAACCTGTTCACAATTCTTGGAGCAGCCTGAAGTGTTGGCGACAACAATTAAAATGACAGATGATGATGTGTTGGAAAGTTATAAAAAAGAAAAAAAAAATGAAATCTTGGAAATAGTTGAAGTATGTGAGGAAGATGATGGCAATGGAAAAATGGGAAAGAGAGAGAAAAAGAACCCTGTATATGGAAAATCACCTTTTGTTGAAAGGATTGTTAAAATCGGGGGCAAGGTGAAGAAGGATGAAATGACATTATACAATTCAGTTTTTGTATCCAAAATAGATTATGGGTAATTTAAATAATATTATCTAGTGGTTTGCTTTTAAAATGTGGTGTTATAAAACTGATCATTTTATAATTGATGAGCAGGGAAGAGATATGGAACATTGGGAGCGATCATGTGTTGCATCAAGGATTCGTATATCATTTTAAAAGCAACACATTTATTCATGCGATAATCATTGATTTTTGGACATATTACTCAACAAAATGGAGGAACTAAGGGATGTAGGATGAGTTTCTACAATTTTATTCGACACAAATTTTTTGGTAAGAATTCAATCTAAAATTAGTTAAAGTCCATTAGTATGTGTTGTATTGATTTATTTATTTATCTTTACATGTAGAAGAAATACTGGATGCATCATTGTCAGCTGATAGAACACAAAGATTGTTTGATTCATTGTTGAAACTACACCTTAAAAGTCTATCAAAACAGGAAAGCTTAAGGATATTGGACTGGTATTCGAATTCATTTTTGTCTTTTATCATTTACAACCCTAACATACAAAAGTAGCTTATTGTTATAAAATATGTCTCTATGTTTTATACCAGGTTTTCTTCCTAATAGTTAAAAAGAGCAAATATTATCTAATATGATTTGATCTAAGGGTTCTAACGTACTACATCATTGATCATGTGAACAAAATTGGTGTTATTGAGGACATATATGGAAGAAAACCCATTCATGCGGTATGATTAAGAATTATTTTTTGTAAGGTTTTAAAAACATGAATTTTGTAATGATAATAAATAAATGTAATATATTGATTGTATTCTGTCGCAGAAAAAATTGCTAGGGTACTATTTAAAAACAGAGCATTACCAAAAATCAACAACTTTCAACAAGATTAAAGCTTGTGTTATGAAAATCATCTGGAAAGTAGAGAAAGAGGGATCAGATTGTGGAGTATATCTTATGAGGCATATGGAGTCATACATGAGGGATAATGAAGGGCGTTGGGAGTGATATACTTGCTTTAAATAATCTAATAATCAAATACATGTGAACTGCTATTGTAGAGGTGTGCTTGGGTTACAATACTTAATGTCAAAATAATAATCAAAAGCTTCTTAACCATATAATGCGTGCATGCACTATATATATATATATATAAGTAAACCCTAAAGCTAAACATGGTTGGACAGGCCCAAACCACGAATATAATGGCGTAACCCCTTAAGGACCAAACTACTAAGGCACAATGGCACAACCCCTTAAGCTCGACAATCTCCCCCTTTGTGCTAATTGAGGCGAGAGATCACTTCGGTTGAGTGGGAGCAGACGACTTTACGGTCTTGAACAGCTTTGGTATTATTGCAAGTAGAGTTTTTCGAAAATGAATATACCACCAAAGTGTGTCCGTAAATAACTTCTTATCTGCATCACTATTCTGGTCACACCGATATATGATTTCAAGAATGTGTTCCAAGCACGTGGTGGAGAACAAGTGTTTATCATCCCGAGCGAACAAACATCTTTGACCTTCGCCCCTTGTGAACAAAACAATATAAAATTATGGATCAATTTTACCTTTAATCATCACCGTCATGTCACTTGCCTTCCTGATTGGCTTAATAACACGCTTCTTTTTTATTGCAGCGATGACCTCCTGATCCATTTTCGCCACTTCAAGAATATCATACCAGCATCCGCTTGATATGATCAATAATAGGCCTATATTCTTGTTGATTGGTCAGCAAAATGTTGTTCAAAAGAATCCATTCATGGAGATTTAAGTTCGGCAGTTCATCAAGGGAAATCTCATGAACCGAGCCGCTTGTGCCTCGTGTCACCTTGAACTTGACATTTATAAACTTCCCTGCTGAAGTGGGTTTTAATACCTTCCCACTTGTAATCTTCTGATTGCTCCAAGTGAGTTATTGCGGTTGAGAGAAAGAAAGATAAAATTTGAGCAAGTCTTGATCAACTTTTGTATCATAAGAGGGGATAGGAACAGTTGAATCAAAACAATGAAATACGAATGCTTTTCGGGTGATGGGTATATCGAACTAAGCATCCTTTGAGTTTTCCGGACTGAAAGAAAGGACCGACTCAAGCCAATGTGTGCTCGGAGATTCGATAGCCTCTTTTACAAGACTTCCCATTAAACACAAAGGAAATAAGGACCTCTTTCATTCCAGGGCCTCATTCGCTTCTTGTTCCGTCTTCTCTCTTTCAATATCTTCATCAACCTTTTTAAGCTTCTCAATGAGCTCTTGATTACTATGTTTGAGTTTTGGATTTTTAGGTTGAGTAGCTTCACCTTAAATTACATCTTCAATAATTACATCATCTCCATCAACAACTTTATTCTTTTGTTTGTCCTTCAAACTGACCGAAGCTACATTAACCTTCGGTTCAGCTGTGACTTTCTGTTGAACAACTTTATCTCCCCCTTGTTTTGGAGGGACACCAGTCTCCGAAACACCCTCAATCCGACTAAGGATATCCAGAGTTGGTCATAATTTCTCAGCTAGGTGACGACGAGTAGTTATTGTAAGAACTGAATCATGATCATCCAAAAGGTGTAAAAGAATATAGTGGACAATACCAATATTGCTCTGAATGACAACTGGCTCGGATTTGAGCTCATCATTTTCTTTTTGAAGGTGGGTGAGTTGGTGAGCTTGCGTTTGGACCCGAGATGTGCTAAGAGACAACTCATCTAGATATTTGTTTTCCAGGGAGATATCATTATGCAGTTTGTCAAAATGAGAAGAAATGGTGGACAAAAGTTTAGCCTGATCAGCCTTCATAGAATCACGCACCACCTCAAACTTTCGTTGCTCGCCCTGAAGAGACTATGAAAGAGAGTCAATTGCAAAACTGACCTTCTTAGCATTGGTTTCAATAGACCCTTTGAGAGAATCTTGAAAAATCTGAGCATCATCAATAATTTGAACGACATTGTTAGATGCAGATTTGCAAGACAGGGTTGAGGCATCCACCACCTTAGTCGCTTGTTTGATCGAATCATCATGTTGCTTGATAGATGTTTGAATAAGAGCTTTGACAGCAACATCTGTATAAGCAGATGAGGAAGAATAGGCTGAAGCGAGCTATTTGTTAAGTTTGGCATTAAGGTCCTTATAGTGCCACTTTGTGAGGGGAGCATCATTATCCTCATCGCTCAAAACCTGATATAGACTGAAATATACCGAGTCAAATTCCATATTGGCTCCACCAAGAACTATATCTTATTCGGTTGAGTGAGGTGGGGATAAAGGTTTTAAGTGATAGGGATGGTGAGACCTTTGGTAGTTGCCCTCGTATCAGATGCATTGACAATAAACCGAGGTTCAGTTGTAGTGGTTGTGGTGGTTTCTTGTGTGATGATTGGAGATGGAAGAGAAACAGTTGTTGGTATGGAAGAAGGTTGAGACGCAACCGGTGATGGAAGTGGTGCAATGGAAACAGGCACAATGGTATGAGATGGAGAAGGAGGAGGAGTTGTAACAGGTTCGGTTACACGTACCTCAGGAGTTGGGGACCGAGGTGGTGAATTCCCTCTTGGTGAGCTTTCGAGATGAACGGGTTCAGCTTCAGTGGACTTCAGTTGATCGTGATCTGATGGAACATAATCTGAATCACTAGAAGCGGCAGCCTTCGGTTTCTTGGCCATCTTTATAAGCTTTTGCTTATTTTGGGCAGGAGAAGGTTCATTGTCTTGTTTTCGCTTTTTAGGCGTGGCCACTGGAGATGATTGAACCTTGCATTCCTTTTTCTTCGGTTATGGTTTCTTTCCCCTCTTTTTCGGTTTGTCAACAACCTCCAAGGCAATTTGCATTTATGGAGTAAGTTGTCTTGGCCCTGTTGGAGTCAGCTTCCTTTAATCAACCATAACATGGATTTCACTTGAAACACATCTAGACATCGATTCAGGAATTGAACCGATGAACATAAACTTTGTCGGATTAGAGATGATGATTTTAGTGGTGTGGAAAGTGACAATTGAAGACATCAGAGCATCCGCCATAACATGAAACTGAAAATGCTTAATGGATCTGTGAGTAACCAGCGTCCAGAAGCGTCCACATGAAATTTCAGAGTGTTTGGACGAAGAATTGAGGCTCTGCACCAGTTGAGACAAAATGAGGGAGCCATAATCCAGATTGATTCCGTGATTAAGACATAAAGAGTGGTCATAAAGGCCTTGCTGGCACCATCAGACCCAGCAACCCTTTCAACTAAACCCTTGCTGGCACCATCAGACCCAGCAACCCTTTCAGATAAAGAATGGTCATAAGCGGTTTTGAGAAAATGTATATCATTCCAAAGTTCGTGTGTTTTCCAAGAAAATCCCTTATTTTCTTATAAACGTATGAAATGCATAGGGCTGTTCATGTTATGAGTTATAAATAGTTGTACCAAGAAAATCCCTTATTTTCCTATTAGTTGATTGTTTTAGATACAGGAAAATCCCTTATTTTCCTAAATTAATAGGTAGTCTCTAATGTCCAAGACCAAAAATTGCAAGCAACTGAAATGCTTAAAAGGTTGAGGCATAGTTTTATACAATAAAGCTATAAGAAGATTGCACTTGTTAGATGAAGAATAGTTTTAATATCTACTCATTCATAAAAGCAGAATACCATAATAATTGTCCATCCGGTGAGTTTTATAACCATACTAAACAAAATATGCATGTGGCGACGGTCTTCAGGCGTCAAAACGTTATGACAAACTGTCACCCAAAGGACTGTAGCTAACAGACAGGGCGCGGGATCATGAATTCCCGTATAGATCTATACACATTTGACACGCTCTCCAAATGAGAGACTCTGGTTATAATAGACAGGACTTTAGGTAGTACCTTTTAACAAAAAGGTATCATTGAAGATGTAATCATCTCACAGAGTCTCAACTAAGTTTGTATTAAAATAATATTTTTGTATGCAATGTTTATCCTCTTTTCCAATGTTTGACAAAGCATAAATCATAAGTTCTTTAAATGCATAAAATGCTTTAACAAGGATAGCTACCTGGATACTATGCATTTTGTATAAATCTAATGCATGCAAAGTATAACAAGAGTTTTCACGTTTCCACTCGGGATCAACCGTGTCTTTACTTGTATTCTCCCCTGAAATGTATTAAAAGTACATTATAAAGTATTTGAAAGTGTATAAAAGGGGGTATGAACTCACTTGATTGAAGTGGTAGCTTGAAGAAGTTAAGATAAAGAACCGAGCAGAACTTCAACTAGAGAAAGCTGAATT